CCCTGGGTAATGATCAGTCTGGGTAATGATCAGTTTTAATATTAATATACTAGACTAGAGGCCCGATGCATGAAACTCGTGCAAAGGGCCTTGGCCCTGTTGCCGCCACAGCCGGGGCTCTGCCGCCTCTGCCTCAGCCCCCGCCCCTGCCTGCTGCGGCTTTGTCCAGAGGGAAGGACATCCAGAAGGACGGCTGGTCTAATTAGCATATTACGCTTTTATTATAGATAGAATTTTTGTAATGTCTTTTATGTTTATTTCTTAAGTCTTAAAGTTCTATGAAGCCAATCTAATGATGTTATAGTTTACTAAATAAGATTCAAAGTCCAGAGCAGTGTCTCCCAAAGTGTCCTTGGACCACCTGCAAATTTCTGGCCAGATCTCATGATTGGGCTAGAGGCCAGCTATTTTTGTGTGTATTGCAAGGACTGATCTTGATTATGAGAGCAGTATCATTCCTTTTGATATTACAATGGAATAGAATATAGTCTCCACTCTTAATATAGGCCCTGTTCATAAAGAAGACTGTTTTCCTAATAGTTTTGCTATCATGAACGTAAATAGCAAATTATATAAATGGTAAGTCTTTTTTTGTCAAAATGTTTACTCTGATGAATAGGTGATACATTTTGTGATGTAATCAGAATTATGGCCCTCTTTTTTTATTTAGGAAAAAATCCAACTGATGAGTATCTAGATGCCATGATGAATGAGGCTCCGGGTCCCATAAATTTTACCATGTTCCTCACGATGTTTGGTGAGAAGTTAAATGGCACAGATCCAGAAGATGTCATCAGAAATGCTTTTGCTTGCTTTGATGAAGAAGCAACTGGTAATTACCATGATTTAATTTTTAGTTATGGTAACTAAAATATATAACTTGAAATATGATGACACAATACTCTCAGGTTTATACCATACCTGTTTGTTCAGTTTTGTTTTAGATAGGCTTCTCCTATGGCATCACTCAATTTACTGCCTCTGCATTTAAATATTTGATTTAAAATTTAATGGGTACATTTGAAAGTTTTTAGTAAAGTTATACTCCATAAGGGTTAGGCTCGAAGTAAATATGTATTGAATGAATAACTTTTACCAGTGCAATCTTGGGTAAAGTGTAAATTGCTATAGGCCATGACACCAGTACAGTCCTATGTTTGTTTATCAGGTACCGCTCAGTTCTGAGATTGTTTAAATCTGGTATAAAACTCTCTGGTTTCATATTCCTTTTCTGCATAATAACTGTGTGAGTTGGGGCAAGTTACATAACTATCTAAATCTCTGTTTTCTTATTTGTAAAATGGGCAATAATATTACCTACCTCACAGGGTTGTTGTAAGGATTAAATGAGGAAATGAGACAATAGCATACTGCCTGGCCCAGAGTTAACTCTCAGAAAAACCCAAAAAGGTAACTACAGAAATGCCTGATCCTTTGACAGAAGTGTATATAAAGATAAGAGGGCAAGTTTTTAAAAGGAAGGCACACCCTTTGGTTATGCATTACTTGGAGTAGTTTACCAGTAAATAAGCCAAGCACAGTTTGGTAATGGAAGCATACTGTCCCCACTTTGGCTTTCCAGGCTCCCCACAATATGGCCTCTTTTGGCCTATTCAAGTATACCACTCTTGACTTTTATATCATCTTTCTAACCTCCTTCCAAGCTACTCTATGCATTGGTGTCCTAACTTACCTCCACCATTTCTGCCTCTATGTCTCCCTCATCATACCACCTCTCCCTCCTCCTGAACTCGAAACTCTTTTTTTTTTTTTTTTTCTCCAGAACACTGTCTAAGTCTATATAACGGCTTGTCTCATAGAGGAGAGCACCGGAATAGGTTAGACGTTGTTGCTGTAGCAAGCTCAAATTGTGTCAGACAGTGTCGATCATCTGCCACAGAGTGTTGCTTGCAATGAACTCGAAACTCTTAACTTTTTTTTTCTGGGAGGACTGGGGAAGAGGCAGGCAGAGGAGACTTGCTTTTTTTTCTCCAAAAGACACTTGTGTATTGACTGAATTTTTAAATTGTAAGCAGGTGTTAGTTTTTTTAATGGAGGGGAATAAAACCATAAAAGAGTAAAATGTCTTATCCATTCTTCAAACTCCTCAATTGTCATATTCTTTATAGAGCCTAGTCTATATTTTCCTACTCAGAAAATTTAAAGTCTCTTTCTTTTTTTTCTTTTTTTTAAATATATTTTTATTGATTTCAGAGAGGCAGGGAGAAGGAGAGAGAGATAGAAACATCAATGATGAGAGAGAATCATTGATTGGCTGCCTCCTGCCTGCCCCCTACTGGGGATCGAGCCTGCAACCCTGGGCATGTGCTCTTGACCAGAATCGAACCTGGGACCCTTTGGTCCGCAGGTTGACGCTCTACCCACTGAGCCAAACCAGCTAGGGCATCTTTCCTTTCTTTCCACTTCCAAATAATTTTATTTATCTCTCTTCTGATACATACTGTGTGTACTTACTTCCAATCATCACAGTCTCTCCCTGTTTCCAGGGTAATGGCTGTGTGTCTTCAACGGCATTATTTTCCCATCTCTGTAAGCCCTTCTACCACCCACCACAGTCCATTGCACATAGTCAATGATTAGTTCATGTGATAGTTGAATGACTTGGCTATAGATGATGATTTATTTCTACAAGCTGAAAATCTAAGATTTTTGGTACTTGTTTTTTTATCTTCACCCAAGGATAATATATTTCCTATAAAATTAGTTTAAATTATAAGGTCACTTCCCATAAGAAACTCTAGAGCTATGGTTCTTGTTGTTTTTCCAATTCAATCCGAGATTTAAAAAAAAAAAAAATAGCCCTGGCCAAGTGGCTCAGTTGGTTGGAGTGTTGTCCCATACACAAAATGGTAGCGGGTTCAATTCCCAGCCTGGGCACATACCCAGGTTTCAGGTTTGATCCCTGGTCCAGGTGTGTGTGGGGGAGGCAACCAATCGATGTTTCTCACATTGATGTCTTTCTCCCTCTCTCCCACTCCCTCCCTTCCTCTCTCTTAAAATCAATTTTAAAAAATAAAAATATCAATGCCAGATAATAAATCAAGAGAGACATCAGGACTTTTTTTTTTTTTTTTTTAAGCTCTCTGGATGATTCTGATTGTCATGTGCAGTTAGGTTTTATGAGAAACCTGCTTTCACACTTCCAGAGTAGAAAGTACACCTTTTGGCTCACCACTCCCATCCCCAATTCTTAGCCCAGTGACTGTGACATAATTAATGCTCAAACATTTACTCAGTATTTTTGCACACTCTGGGCCTGGCCATATTTGTTATGAAATCTAAATTAGATTTGTTTAAAAAAAAACCAAACATTTAAGAATCTCATTTTACATATTAAAAAACAAAGTCAGAGGTAAAGTGAAATATCTGAAATAACATAGCTTGTTAGAACTGGACCTCAAGACTCCAGCATTTTTTCCACTGAAGCACTTTATTGATTTTATAATGTGGCATTGATTTTAATGTTATTTACTTATAGAATAAGTATGACCATTCATGCTACTTTAAAGAACTATAAGGCATAGATTCCTTAAGCATACTATATTGCTTTTATTTAGGCATCAGTTTAGCCCCTATTATCAAGAGATCAGGAGATGAATGTGGAGGAAGATTGATAGAGCAGAGCAGGTTAATGCCAATAGGCAACTACCCGTTTTCTAGGCAACTGCTGAGGCTGACTTAACCATGTAGAGACCCTTATTTCATGTATGTGCATATTTATAGTTCTTAGCATAGAACATGCATAGTCAAGTGTAGATGCTCCTTGTAATTAATCCTCAGAGTAGTATATATTCTGAACCCCAGTTCTTTATCTTTTAGGCACCATTCAGGAAGATTACCTGAGAGAGCTGCTGACAACAATGGGAGATCGGTTTACAGATGAGGAAGTGGATGAGCTGTACAGAGAAGCGCCTATTGACAAAAAGGGAAATTTCAATTACATTGAGTTCACACGCATCCTTAAACATGGAGCAAAAGATAAAGATGACTGAAAAGAACTCCAAATTGCAGCCAAATGTTCTATGTCGCCACATTGGGTATTTCTGAGACTTTCTCTTAGAGTCCATAACATGCCCTAGCTTTGCAGCTTTTGCCTTTCTTGTGGTATTTATTCTCAGCCATTTTGGGCACAGCCATCTCTATAATCAGACTGGAAGTAGGACTCTTTGTTATTTTCAGAATAGAAAATAGGTAATTGAACTTACCAGCCTCCCCCACCCCCCTATAACTGCAATCTACACAGAGTCAGTATATTTTTTCAGAGAAAGTAATTCACTCAATTTTTTTCTGAACCATAATTAAATTTTATGATCAAAACTTACTTGTTTAAACTTCTTTATTTATCAAAATTGACTTTTATTCGTTTTAGTTGCATCTTCCAATGAAAGGTAGATGAGGCAAAAAACCTAGAAAATGGTGTGGTTGTTTGACCTTTTCCTTACTTCTCCCAGTTTTCCTAACAATCCTATCTCCTCTGCTATTCATTCGTCCCCTCCCAAAGAAATACAAGTTTAACTGCCTTAATTGTGTTTCCTGCACTTTGTCTTCCAATTTTAAAAATAATTTGCTATAGGATTTGCATATATATGATAGTTTTAGTAGCTTTAAATCCTTAAGTTTAACACACCTACCAATGTTCCTCCTTATCTGTCCTAAGCTTTTTGTGTCATTTAAAATTAGACCAGGCCAATGAGTTTAATTTTAATTTGTCCTCATTTTTAAAACTATTTTAGACTCAAAGTGTCTATGGAATGCTACTAACGAGATTTTTTTTTATATATATTTCAAAATGTTGGAAATACAGTACAGCATTTTTTATTATATAAAACTTTTTTAAACACAGTAATGCATATTGAAATACCATGTTTGTTTATGCAGAGATTCACCATGAGTCCAAGTGTGAATTTTGGACATTCCTGCCCTGCCCACAAACAAAACAGCTGAAGCTAAGTGCTTGGGAAAGTGAGATCATTATTTCAATACTCAAAATAATTTCTGCTGTTTCCAGAAATGCAGGACTGTTTCAGAGTTAATCAGGAAATGGTTGACACTTTCATTTGCTTTGTACTTCAAAAAGCTGAAAGATTGATGAGTTTAAAAGTTGAAGCATTGTGGGGGGAGTTGGTTGAAAAATTTTACAATTAGCCTATAAAGATGAGTAATTGACAATTACTCTAATAACTTTACGTTTTATGCTACTATTAACCAAACTATCCTTGGACAAAATCATTACCTCACTCAATAAATAATTACTGAATGCCTTCAGGGTGGCAGACCTTTGCACTCAGCAGGATAGATGAGTCAGCTTTATAGAACAGGAGGAGAAGGACCAGTACCACGACTGCTCTTGCCCCTTTTAAGTTTAGAATCTTACCACCTGCCTTAAGTACTTTTTCTAGGCTATAGCCATGATGTTAAAATCTTATTTTGCTGAATCGAATTTCCATTTCAACTGAAAAAAAAATCACTTCTGCTTTAACAGATTTCTAGTGAAGAACAAGTAACATTGTTTTCACTTAGAAAAAAAGTGGTCTCATTTACTAAAATTATTTCCTGCAATGCCCCCATTTCCATTTCAGATAACTGCTCAAAAAACTGGCTGCCATTAGGAGCAGTGCATGGTCTCCCCGGGTGAAATAAGTCTCCTCATTTAGTAAGAGCATTCTCTATGTAGTAAGTAGGCTTTGCTTAAGGGAAGATGACTGCCTAATAAAAAGCTAAAGCATCTACTCCATCAGTGGATTTGACTGAAAACCAGTCTCCATGATGACAATCATACTTGAAACAAACCATTTCAAACGTTCTTTGAAGCCATCCTAATAGGGGCAGCATTGTTAGGATTATATTGTCATTTGGACTCCAGATCCCAAATTTTACTTGATCCAGAAGCCTATGACTGGAGAGCAGGAATTGATGAGTGCTACTGGGAAAAAGGGTAGAAAGCCAGACTCTGAGACAAAAGCAAATTCTGAAAAGGAAAGGCAATGATTTTCTACAAAGTAGGAGAAAAAGGACAGCAAGAGGTGTAACACCTAGACTAAGGGAGATGCCGGCAAGTTGTAAGAAGAATCAGAAAACAGTAAAAGGGCTTAAGAGAGGTAGAGCCACAAAACATGAAAACCATAAATTTAAAATTGAGTTCCTCAGTTACATTACACACATTTGAGAAGGATATGCCATAAATAACCATTTCCCAAGTGCTTTTCATTAATCTTTTTCTTTTGAATCTTGAGAGGAAAAATATACCTTTTTTTTTTTTTTAGAACAGTGTTACCTAGTAGAACTTTCTGTGATAATGGTCAAGGTACAGTCAGGGTGTCTCAGCTATTAAGGTGGCCAGCGTGAGGGTTTATGCAGTGGTAATAGACCATACTTAGAAGAGCGCTAAGACAAAGACCTAAGAAACCAAAATCTTATGTTTGGGGGGAAAATTATTTAAATTATTGGACCAAGAACAGAATGTAACTACGGAAAATCAAATATTTTAGAACCCAGGTATGACTTCTCTGCAGTTGCTTTTCAAATTTTATTGAGAAAATGCATTCAGTTAGGAACTGGACCTTGGGCTGGGACGAGGACCACAGCATCAGCATCCCCTGGAAATACAAATTATCACCTCACCCTCCGCCTACTGAATCTGAATCTCTGGGGCTGGGGCTCAATCTTCTACCAGGTCCTCCAGGTTTTTCTCATGCATGCTCCTGTTTAAGAACTGCTGTATAGAGCGCTGAACACAGTGTCTAACATCTAGGAATTTCCGATCAAACATTTCTACAATATAAATGAGTTATTCATCTCCCCAGCATCAGCACGCATTCAGGCAATCCCAAGTGCTCAGTAAAGGTTTGCTGTTAAGTTGCCTATCCTCCCTTCAGAAATAGTGCTGTCCATCTTCTTCCAGCTGAGGGAACTGACGGCCATAGCCACAAGCAGGAACCGGGACAAAACGTGAATAATGTAGCTTCGCGGGTTCCTTTTCGGCCAAGAGCATTAACTAATGTGTCTGCGCGATTGTATGCGTGTGTGTTTCTGACATCTCCTTAATGACCCAAAGGAAAGCAAGTAATTTGAATAAAACCTTCTTGTGGTTGGAAAGGGACTGGAACTGCTGTCCCTGGCCTGGCACCGGAAACCTTACAATCTGAGGGTAAGAAAAAGGGAGCCAATGATGCGTCGGATTGGAGCGCAGTTTAAAAGGTTTGCCAGCGGACAGGAGTCCGCGCCTCTTTCCCTTCCCCGGTGTTCCGTGGGACACACCTAAAAAATTACGTGTTTTCCCTGAAGCTCAGATTTAACTAGACCCGCTGTGCTTCCATTCGTTGACTGTGGCAGCCCGGGTGGGCGGTTTCCGACGCCCGGGAACCCCTAACCCTGAGGGGCTGCGCCCCGCCCCGCCCGGGTCAAATTCCAGGCCCCACCCGGCGCCCAGGGAATGCGGAAGGGCGCGGGAACCCGCGGCGGCAGGGGGGCGCTAGACGGCCGGCGGGGCTCCAGCCGCCCCAGTCCGCACACACCAGCCGCGCGGAGGAAGCCAGCGAAGACCCCGGCCGTGCTCATCCGCCAGCCCCGCTCCCGGTGGCCGCGGCGGGCTTCGCTCAGCCTGACTGCGAACCGCGCCGCACACGCCCCCCCCTTCCCGAGTTGGTTCCCTCCGCGCCTTCCGGTGCGCCTTCCGGTCCGCCTCCCGAGGCAGGAAGTGCCGGGCGCCGCCTCTGTCGCGCCACAGCCCCGCGGTCGTCGTAGTCGCCTGTCGTCTCGTGCAGGACAGCCCGCGTTCTGGTGTCTGGCGGCGGTGAGTGGCGCTTGCCCCCGCGCGCGACACCCCTTGGGCCCCTTGGCCACCTCTCCCTCCCGCCACACGCCGGGATCAGACTCCGACCGGGAGGGGAGGGGAGGAGAGGCGGGTGGGGAGGACCGGGGCGGTGGGAGCTGTCAGGGTGGGCGCGGAGGCCCTAGCCACCGCCCGGCCCGGCCAGAACGGAAGCTCCCGGCGGGTGAAGCGGCCTGAGGAACGGCCCGGCTGGAAGAGGCGGCCGGGCTCCCGGCCTGCGTCACCCAGGATGACATCACACACCTGGTGCCCGCGACCGCCCTGCCGCCGGGCTGCCTGCCCGCCCCCGCCGCTGCCCTTCCCCTGCCCCCGCGGGCCCAGTCCGTGGATTCGGGTGCGGAGCCCCTGTTCTGTACCGCACACAGGGCTTGATGTTCTGGGGGTTCAGGAGTCTACTGATGCTTGGTTCTTGCCTTGGTTGAAACGTCCAAGGAGAATTTTAGAGAAGCGGCACCGGGTGCGTGGTTAGTATAGGCTCAAATGTCATGATGTGCATAGGCGGTGTCTCACTGCATCTTGCATCTTGTGAAGATTTAGTGCATTCGTGTTGGTTGGAGAAAAGGATAAATAAAAATCAGGAAGGATTTCAATTGAATTGTGACCTCGTTGAAAGCCTTGGAGTCAGCCCCAGAAGGGAGGATTTAGTATTTCCTGGCTGGATCTGTGGTAGGAGGGAACAAGACCAAAAGCACCAAAGCGGGGAATTTGTGTCGAGCGGAAAGGAGATGGTGGGAAGACTAGCCTGAATGGAACAGAACTATAACGAATAACAGTTGGAAATAAGGGTGGGTGGATGGGTAGGTAAATGTGGCCTTTTTATGGATGCCTTGAAAACTTGAGGAAAAATAAAAGATTATGTAAGAGGCATTAGGGAGTGAGTCATTTTGGATTCTTCACCAAGGAAGTAATAGGAAGAAAGGGTGTTTAGAGATTAGTTTGGCCGCCTTTGTTTAAGATGAAATTGCATTGGTCCTTTGGTAAGAAAAACATTTTAAAATATATTTTATTGATTTTTTTACAGAGAGGAAGGGAGAGGGATAGAGAGTTAGAAACATCGATCAGCTGCCTCCTGCACACCCCCCACTGGGTATGTGCCCGCAACCAAGGTACATGCCCTTGACCGGAATCGAACCTGGGACCCTTGAGTCCGCAGGCTGATGCTCTATCCACTGAGCCAAACCGGTCAGGGCAAGAAAAGCATTTTAGAATTCAAAAGAACTTTACAGATTATCTTTCATTTTATAATTGAGGAAACAAACCAGGAGAAGGGAGATAACTTGCCTAAGATCATTTGAGGGATTCACAGGATGCCACCCATTTCCTCTGTGAGAGATAGAGAGTTAGAAACATCGATCAGCCGCCTCCTGCACATCTCCCACTGGGGATGTGCCCGCAACCCAGGTACATGCCCTTGACCGGAATCGAACCTGGGACCTTTCAGTCCGCAGGCCGACGCTCTATCCACTGAGCCAAACCGGTTTCGGCTATCTTTCATTTTATAATTGAGGAAACAAACCAGGAGAAGTGAGATAACTTGCCTAAGATCATTTGAGGGATTCACAGGATGCCACCCATTTCCTCTGTAAGCATTAGGTGGACCCTCCTGGACTTCATAACAAGTATATAAGTTTGTGTTTGTTCAGGTTCTGTTGAATGAAACAACTTCTACAGTGGCTGAGTCAACATTCATTTATGTTTCAATAGGACCAATTTAGATAAGACGAACTGGGACTTTGAAGGAAGGACAATCCTCAGATCAGGGCTGTAGGAGTTAGAAAGATAAGAGGACTTGGACCCCTAAATGAGGCTGGTTATCCCTCTCCCAAGATCCAGACACCAGATGTCTAGGAATGGTTTTCATTGCCACCAACTTTGGGATCTTCCTCATTTCACGCTTGAGCAGTGTGGCGGCGTTGCTTACTACTCCCATCTGGCTATGTATATTTTCATGGTGGAGAATTTCAGTTGCCTATATGCAGGATATTATGGACTAGTGATACAAGCTCTGGAGCTAGACTTCCTGAGGACAGATCCTGGATCTAAGCTCTACCTTTTTCTAGCTGCATGGCCATAGGCAAGTTGATTATTATTTTTGCCCTGTTTTTCTCATCTAAGAAGTGGGGGATAATAGTTTCACCTATATCGTAAGTTGTTGTGAGGATTAAATATGTTAACACGTAAAATGCTTAGACCAGTGCCTAGCACATATTTAGCACTTGATTATTGGCTACTATTAGTACTGTTTCTTCCAGGTATAAAATAACGGCAGCTGGTAATTTTGGTAAGGATCTCTGCAGGAAAGGTTCAGTGGAGTTTATGCTAAACCATGGGTAGACCATAGAGAAAAGCCTTGTTTTGGGAGTCAGATCCAGGTCCTACCTTATAATATGCATCTGTAAATGTAACTCTATATGTGATAGGAAGGAAGCATGTTTATGTATTCACGTAAGTAGTATTTATTGAGCACCTGCCGTGTGTAAGTCACTCTACTAGACCTACAATCCAAGGTAGAAAGGCTAAATGTCATAAAAATGTATATGTAAATGGCATGGCAATGGAATACTACTGGGCAGTAAAAACAAGAATGAGCCACTGGTAGGCGAATCTCAAAAACATTACATTGAGTAAAAGAAGTCAGGCATGTAGAATGTACACTGTATAATTCCATTTATAAGAAGTCGAAGACAAAATGAATCTATGGTGATAGAAATTTGAGCAATGGTTGCCCATGAGAGAGGATGGTTGACTTCGAGGGAACTTTCTGGAGTGATGTTAATATTTGTTACTTGATTAGGGTGGTGGTTACATGAGTATACACATTTACCAAAACTTATTTTAAAATCTGTGCATTTCATCATATAAATTTTATTGTAATAAAACAAAATTTTATAGGAATTCAAAGGATGGTAAGTTTACTGCCAACTGGGATGATCATAAAATCCATAATGAAGAAATGAGAGCATTATTGTGGCCAGGTGACTCAATTCATTGGAACATTGTTCCGTATACCAAAAGGTTGCGGGTTTGATTCCCGGTCAGGGCACATACCTATGCAGGTTCCATCCACAGTTGGGGCACGTACAGGAGGCAACACATAAATGTTTCTCCCTCTCTCTCCCCTCCTCTCTCTCTCAAATAAATTTAAAACACAAGCAAAAAAAGTATCCTTGGGTGAGGATAAAAATAAATGACAGCGCCGAAACCGGTTTGGCTCAGTGGATAGAGCGTCGGTCTGCGGACTGAAGGGTCCCAGGTTCGATTCCGGTCAAGGGCATGTACCTGGGTTGCGGGCACATCCCCGGTAGGAGATGTGCAGGAGGCAGCTGATCGATGTTTCTAGCTCTCTATCTCTCTCCCTTCCTCTCTGTAAAAAATCAATAAAATATATTTAAAAAAATAAATAAATAAATGACAGCATGTGCTAAATATTAAAATTTAACCATGTATTACAAGGAAAGTTTGGTGCTAAGAAAAAAGATGTAAAAAATGAGTAAAGCTCTTGGGGAAAAAAGATATTTATTGAATTGATTACATTTTTGCCTAAATATGTAGCCATGTCATCCTATATAATAAAAGCCTAATATGCCAAGTGCGGGGTCTTCTGGTCAACCAAAGTGTAATATGCTAATGATATGCTAAGGCTGCTCACTATGAAGTGCACTGACCACCAGGGGGCAGATGCTCCAACCGGTAGGTTAGCTTGCTGCTGGGGTCCAGCAGATCAGGACTGAGCCAGACAGGCTGGACATGCCCTGGAGCCCTCCCGCGGTCCCTCCCCAACTGACCAACCTCCCGTGTCCCTCCCCAGCCCCGATCATGCACCAGTGGGGTCCCTCAGCCTGGCCTGCACCTTCTCGAAATCCAGGACCCCTTGGGGGATGCCAGAGAACCGGTTTCGGCCCGATCCACAGGACAGGCCGAGGGACCCCACTGGTGCACAAATTCGTGCACCAGGCCTCTAGTTAAATATATGAGGTAAATTTTGTGGGGTATTTTAACTTAAGTACTAAATTTTTTTTAGGATTGCTGTTTTCAAACTGTTGCTCATGTATCCAGTTAGCACAAACATTAGTCTGAACTATGATAATGACTTTGGGAATCTGTAAGAAATTTATAAAAATAGACCTTGGTGAAGATGACAGTTGAATCAGAAATGATCTTAGGTTTCAGCCCAAGAACTGCTGCTCTCTGCTTTTTCGTGTTCATCCATTCTCAGTCTCACCCTGTGCCTTTGTTCAGAAGTTGGCTTTGCCGAAGGAGACCTCTTAAGCATCCTGCTGCAACCTGGCCAAAACGTGAACTTTTTATCATCCCTTTGCTCAGAAAACCAGTTCCTCTTTCCTCTTTAATAACCTCATTTTTGAGTCGTAACTTTGTGCTACCAGTTTTTCAGCCAGTACTTTAAAAGCAAAGTCATTCAAGGACTGCCCTAAAGGAAATTCCAATTAGGAGGCATGCACTAGCAAGCAAATCAGCAAGAAGAACAGGATAGTGGTGATAGGAATGTTGAAGAAAGGGTGACTCTGTTGCAGTTAAAAGAGGAATCAACGGAAGCTGGAGAGAAATTGAATAGAAGGAATTGACGTTTTCTAACCAGAAATAGAAAATTCCCTAACTAGTGCAAACTTGATTGTGGCCCCTTTGAACTTTTGAAAATTCTGTGGTTATAATTCTGACATAAAGGTATGACCTGTTTTAATATTAAAGAGACTAAGGAAACACAATGGCTTTATTAGTTTTCTATTGCTATATAACAAATTACTCCAAAACTTAGCACCTTAAAAAAAACAATAAACAATTTCTGAGGGTCAGGAATTCCAGGGCAGCTTAACTGGGTGGTTCTGGCTCAGGGCCTCATGAAGTTGCAGCCCAGATGCCAGCTGGGTTTGCAATCTTGAAGAAAGATCAACCTCCAAGATGGCTGATTCACATGACTGGCAAGGTGATTCTGACTATTGACAGGAGGCCTCAGTTCCCTGCCACATGGACCTTTCCTTAGGGTTGCATACTACCCTAATAACCTGGTGCTGGTTCCTCCCAGATTGTGATCCAAAAGAGAGCAAGGCAAAAGCTGCAATGTCTGTTATGACAAAGTCACACTATTATTTTTGCAATATCCCATTGGTTATGAAGGGTAGCAGGATATGTCATTTCAAAATATGCCACTTGGGCATAAATACTATTTGGAGCTGAAGGCAATTTAGAAGAAACCGAATAAGACATAAAAGCAGGACATAAATTTACAAAGGTTTCCTTCCCTCTCTACCAGGAAGGACAAAGATTACTCTCTGTAGCTAACTTTAGACTCTTATCAGTGAAGAAGGCCCTGATTTAAGTCTACATGACAATCCTTACTCTTGTTTGCTTTGCTTTTCCTGGTAACCTTCCATAACTAGCGTCTACCCCCCACATATCTTTCTCTTTTTGTCTTCAGCTGAAGATGATATTTAAGTCTGAATTCTAAGCCACCTCTGATAATAGTTTTTTCCCTGGATATCTCCCATGTATACATGAGATATACATGTTAATAAACTTCTTTGTTTTTCTCTGGTTAGTCTATTATTACAGTGGTGTCAGGAAGAACTCAGAAGGGTAGAAGGAAGATTATTTCACCTCCCTTACCGTTTCACAGGCCAACAATCTTTTTTATTGTTGGAGGGGACTACACAAGGACATAAGGAAATGTTGAGGGCCATTTTGGATCCTGGCTACCACCGTAGTCAGGGAACAAGTTCAACTCAGGGTACAGGCAGTAACATAAACAAATACTGACTGTGTCAGGAAAATAAGGGAATAGTAGGAATTGCTCACTGAACACTCATTATCTACAGGAATTTGGGAATGCTGGTCAAGTGATTACTATCATATAGTTTTCCAAGATGTCTGAAATTTGTTTTTATTAAAGTAAAATATTCAGGTTTTTAAAACAAATTCAATAATTTAAAAAGGCATTTAAAAGGTTATACCTGGGGGTACTAAATGAACTTCCTACAGACTGCATATATTTTGGTAACTGCCAGTTTGTGACTTCTGATCTACCTAACTTTTATTTTATAGATTAAAAAAAAAAAAAGAACCAGGAACGCTAAAATAACTGAAGGCCATACAAATTGAAAATGACAGAACGAATTAGAATTCAGTTCTCCAGCATCACTATTAAACCATAATGACCAAATTTTAAAAACTAAAGGGAACTAAATACACAATCAGCCAATACCTTCTACGTAGTTAATGTAGTGATTCTCAGCCTTCAAAGTACATTGGAATTACCTGGTACATTTTTTAAAAATACCGATTGTTGTAATGTACCCCTTGAATCACAGAAGGACGCCTCAAGAAGTCGAATTAAAGAGTCACATTTATTGCAATCCGGGACTATAAGGGGCATCTTGCTCTCCCAAATCTCATAGTAATAAGATGGGCGCAAAACCAGACTTATATAGGCAAAGATCACAAAGGTATTGATTACATCCCAAGGTTTGGAATGAGGAACCTGGTTTGCAAAAAAGCAGTTTACAGAAGCAGAAGCAGCATCTTATCTAAATTATAGTTTTGGGTCTATGGATCACTGAATTGACAGAAACACATTATCTAGAGCCCTCGGGTCTGGAATGAGGAACCTGGTCAGACTTAAGCATGTTATCTAAATTACAGTTTTTGGGTCTCCAGAACACTGAGTCCACAGGGACACATTAACTGGAGCCCTCTGACCTTGGGATAATCGTGCTGTCCTTCCCAGGTAAAGGAAAATGTTCTTTCTAAGACCAGTATGGTCACTACAAATGGGATAGTCACAGTACAATCAATAGGGTATTTAATCGAATGGGATGATTTGTATAATTCAGAAAATCAAAATAACTTTTCTGTTGTTAAACAAAGCAAATAAGTACAGAAGCCAAACAGCAGGGTTAAAGTTAAACTATAGTTTCTACCTGAGATGATTGCTACCATACTTCAGATTCCTGGGCCCTGCCCATAGATATTCAGTTTAAGTTTAACTAGAGTAGGACCTAGGCTCCAGTTTTTCTAAGCTTCCAGGGTGATTTTAATGTACAGTCAAGATTGAAAGCAGAAGGTTAACTACTGTGAGAGCCATATTTACTTGCCATATGGTGACAGCAATTAGCTAATTTAAGATACTTGAAGAAGCCTTAAAAAAATGTCAAGGAATTCATAATTGCTGACAGAATATACCCCAGCACCATATTCGCAGGCTTCCAATAAAGCTATATAGGCTGATTGATGTTCACATTCAGCTTCCGCTTATTAATGATTATGGTGCCCATGTTTTGATTTGCACATTAGTATTGCAGGTGATTTTGCAAATATTTGGTTATTTGAATATTAGAGGCCCAATGCACAAAATTCTTGCAATAGTAGGCCTTCCTTTCCCTGGCTGCCAGCACCGGCTTCCCTCAGGCACCCAGGACCCAGGATTCCCTTGAAGCCTCACCTTTGTCCAGAAGGTCGTCAGGTCTAATTAGCATATTACGCTTTTATTATTATAGATGTTGACGCCACAGCCACCTATAATATCAGTTTTTTTATATCCCTGCTCTTGTAACCTCTGTGAACACTACTTAGTACCTTAAGTTTACTTCATATTGGAAATTTACCAAAAATAATTAAAAATTTGAAGAGGAAGTAAGAAGTCTTTCCTGCTATTGAGGGTTATTCATTACATTATGTGCTATGTTATATATGAATATTATTTTCTGTAACTATAGTTTAAGGGTAAGGTTTGGTTGTTTTTTCTTTACATTTATAAGTTAAACATTAATTTGACTGTCCTAGGTAAAGGTTTCAAGCCTTTACCTATCATGTCAAGCCAAGACTATGACTGATAGGAAGTACTGCCACTTGGTCAAACCCAAACTAGGGCTGCTACACTGCACAATTCCGGAGTGTCATTTATATTTTATTCTCTTACCATTCCACAATGCAGTTGTATTCTGTACATTGGTTTCCCCATATAGTTTTCATTTATTTGAAAACTCAGTTTGTCTAGGATCTGAGTTTGGAGGAAAGTAGCTGCTCAGAAATCAGTGTTGGATTATACTGGTAGTATTGAAAGATTTTTTTTAATGTGATAAACTCAAAATATTAGAAGAACATTTAATACAGAGAAAATATGTAGGTAGAAATAACCTTGAGTAAAGGAGGTTTGACTCCTAGCTTGCCAGTAGGTGACCTCTGGCAAGTTATTTAATATCTTTGATCTTCAGTTTTTTCATTTGTAAAGCAGGCATGTTAAATTTAATGCATATAATTTGCTTAGCACATGAGTCACTCAATAAATGGTAGTAGCCATTAGTTGAGTAGGCCTTTAATTCTCTCTCTGGTCTTAAAGCATTTTGGACTAGAAAAATAGCAAGAGCAAAAGTACAGTACACAAGAAACTGCATGGTGCCGTGGGCCCAAACAAGCAGTGTGATTGCTGAAGGAAAAGTACAAAGCAGAGGTCTAGAGATGAGGCTGGAAAGGTCATTCTAGAGGAGACAAAGGAGGATCTGGTACGCCATGCTTAAGAATGTATACTTTGTCCTATGAGGCAGTAGAAAGCCAAAGAAGATTTTTCAGGGGGGAATGGTAATGTCATAATTATGTTCTAGACACCTCTGGCTGGAATATAAAGGGTAGTTTAGAGGGGACTAAGAAGCAAGAATATTGGTTAGTTGGCTATAGAAATGCACAAAGAGATGATGGGGCCCAGCTGAGGAATGAGGAAGATGAACAAATCTGAGAAATATTTAAGAGGCAAGGCTTGATTCATCAGGGATAAAGATGAGTCACGGTGACTCCTCGATTTCTGGTTTGGTCAGTGGGTAAGTGATGGTGCCATTAACTAAGAGAAAACAAAAGGATGAGAAAGTTTAGGAAGGAGAGGATAATTCAGTCTTCAGCACATTGGTTATGAGTGACTGGGATATTCAAATGGATACCTTTCACAAGCAATTGGGTATTTGAGTATGTAACTCAAGGACAGGTCAGGCCTGGAGATAAGAGACTTGGGAGACATAGGTGTTGTCAGAACAGTGAGAGTCAATGAGATCATCCAAGCAAAGCAGTCATGACTGCTAGAATACATGAATATTTAATATAGGTGAGCGGAGGAGATAAAGGCTTAACAAGAAAATGGACCAGCCATACAACTGTGAGAGATGGTGTGGGTCACACCAAGTCAAATACAGCATTTTACATAAATCAGTCTTTCCAATATTATGTTTAGGAGCCTTCCTCACTAGAGTGTAAGGTCTTTAAGGTTGGGAACTTTGCAGTCTCTTTCTATTGGGACAGTTCATTTCTACTGTGACTGTTCACTAAGACCAAGAATTTGGGGGGCTCTGAAGAAAATGGTATAAAACATAGAGTGGTCCAAGGAGATTTAGACTGGATTTGGTAATTTGAAAGTAGTTGCAGTCGAGAAAAGAAAGCCAGATTGTGGTGGGTGGAAAGTTAGTGGGAAGTGAGAAAGTGGAGGAAGCCTACTTCTCTCAGTAGATAAGGAGACCAAGGATAGTAGTTTCTTTGGGGGCCAGAATTCTCTTCGGATTGATTGTTTTGCTACAACTTTGTGTCACATTTTTCATTTTATTGTCTATATGTATAGTTTTTATAGGTACTATATACATGTATAAATATACTGTTTTTAAATGAAGTACAGAGGAAAAAAATAAACTTTTTTTTTTTAAAGAAATGATGGTGTTACTACATTGAGCCTGTATCTGCTCTGTTCAAAGCTGCACCATTGAGCCAAGCTTCAGAACACCCAAGTGGAGTATTTTATAGATGGAAAAAAGAGAAGGAAACAAGTAGGTTAAAAGTTCAAGACTAGAAGGCCTAGAGACCCAGGTCCAAAATTCCCTTGCTCAGCCACTGCCCCAGCTAGTCATCTGCTTTCACTATGTGGCTGCAGAGTTAAAGAACAGTCCCCAAGACCACCCTTATTTCTGACACCAATGGCAAGTGGTGGGTTTCCAGGATAACCCTCAGGTTCAATAATTTGCTAGGATTCACAGAACTCACTGAAAGCTGTTATACCCATGGTTTGGTACAATAAAAGGATTCAGATTAAAATTATCCAAGGGAAGAGACACATGGAGCAGAGTCCAGGAGTCTTCTAAATGCAGATCTTCCAATTGTCCTCTCTCATGAACAGTATTGACTTCTGACAGCAAGGTGAGACAGTCTGCATGGAGTATTGCCAACCAGGGAAGCTCACTTGATCCTTGACATCCATAGATTTTATTGGAGCTCTGTCACATAGATATGGTTGACTGCTGCACAGCTTACCTCAGTCTCCAACCCCTCTAGAGGTCAACTGATAACACATGACCCCAAACCCCCATGGTAAATCACATTGTTAGAAATCTAGTGTGACCCAAGATTCCAGATATCAGGTGTGGCATTTCAAGGGCTTAGAGATTACTTCCCAGGAGCCAGGGACAAAGGCCAAACCTTTCTTTTGGCAAAATTAAATTCTTTACTGCACGAGGGCCCCCCTTTTTTTTTTAACCTAGGTAGTATCTATCTCATAGGGAAGTTGTAAAGATTGAATAAACATTGGATCAAAAAATTTACTCTGGTATCCTTGGGTTTTCTGAGGTTATATGTAGTAATAATAGTGGAGCTAAGATTCAGACTCAGGACTTTGTAATTAAAATTACAAATAAAAAATGGAATGAAAAGTGTTCATTCTTTTTGGCATTTAAATTATTGATGGCTTTCAATAGAGTATTGGAGGCTACTACCAACACCATTTTACAGAGAATTGAGTTATTGGGAAGATGAGAAAATGGGGACAGTTGAGTATTAATCTAAAAGTTTTGTCAAGGGAAATGGGAAATGAAAAGGTAGCAAGAGGGATGCAAGATTAAAGAACAGATTTTGATGATTTTTTTTTAAAGATAGCCTTTTTAACATGCACCATACATGACTATACTAGTTTCTTTGTGTATGTTAACGTACACTGGAGTAGATATTGTGTTTTGCTGTAAAACAGAGTATTGAATGGGCTTCCCTTCTTTTCAGACCGTGTTTTGAAAATATTGAGGCTCAGAGAAGTTATGCAACATTGGTAATAAAATGGAAATAAATAAAATGGAGGATTGTTGTGAGGATTAAATGAGACAATCCTTGTAAAAATAAGATATCAACTTTAGAGCCTTTCTCTTTAGGGGAGCCCCATGTCTTCATAACAGTGCTTGGCACATAGTAAGCACTCAGTAAATGCTAGGTTGTTACATATTTTAAAATTAATTCCCACTTAATAAATATGGGTTTAATGAAATTTTAGGAGAAGCTACATCAGTAATATCTATTGTTTCTTAATTTCTTCAGAACTGCTTTTTCCCCCTAGCCATTTAATTGTCAGATTGGAAACAGAGCTTAAATATTTATTTATTACTGCTCAAATAAAGTAATAATTCTACATTAAGATATTTTTACTCATTAACTTTAGGTATTATAAATTCTGTTTTTGCTTTATGTTTTATGCATTCTTTTTTGCTTTTGCTTTTTAACTCTAGAATTAAGCAGCCACCATGTCGAGCAAAAAGGCAAAGACCAAGACCACCAAGAAGCGCCCTCAGCGCGCAACATCCAATGTGTTCGCCATGTTTGACCAGTCGCAGATTCAGGAGTTTAAAGAGGCCTTCAACATGATTGATCAGAACAGAGATGGTTTCATTGACAAGGAAGATTTGCATGATATGCTCGCTTCTCTAGGTAGACTTTTATATTCTTAATCTGCCTGCTTTCAAAAAATAATAATTCAGCATTCTATGAATTATTTTCTGTGTGATGTTCAAATATTCCTGTCCTGTCTCCAAAGCCTATTGAGAAATGCCTGGGTGGGAGGTGCCATGTTGGGGTTTGGCCAGTCATAAGAGGGTAAGCCCGTGGGGTTGGGGACCTGGCAGATACTTGGCCAGGTGGGCCTCAGTTCCTCTCGGCTAAATACCATAGGTCTACTAGGTGAACAGCCAGGAGATGGCTAGGTGGCAAAATATTGGAATTTATAACAAAATGTGTAACTAATAATATAGCACAGTTAGGAATAAATGTTGAGGACGGTTTATAGGTAGGAAGTAACAATAATAAATGATGATAGTATCGGGAGGAAGGGCAGTGCTACTGGAAAAGGGAACACAGGAAAGGGGATTTTCACAATTTTATTTATAATTTTTTTTATAACTAAAAAGAAAATGTAAAGATAAAGGATTTAAAGTAGCCCAGCAGGTGTAGCTCGGTGGTTGAGCGTCGACCTGTGAACCAGGAGGTCACAGTTCAATTCCCGGTCAGGGCCACATGCCTGGGTTGCAGGCTTATCCCCAATAGGGGGTGTGCAGGAGGCAGCTGATCCCATGATTCTCTCTCATCATTGATGTTTCTCTCTTTCTCCCCCTCTCCCTTCTTCTTTGAAGTCAATAAAAATATATTTTAAAAAAGTAAACATAAACTGCCCTTTGTTATTTTTCTTTATTATGGGTATTATTTTAATATTCCTTCTATGATATTGTTGTTTGTTTTGATCTTAAAAAGAAGGCCCAAAAGGCCCTCTGTGTTGTGCACCCAGTCAGCACTAATTTTATAGATGTGGAGAAAGGAATAACAAGCCTGCTTCTTGATAGACCAAAGTGACTGGCAGGGAACAGGGTGCAGCTCAGGGGTGGCCTGCAGTTAGGCTCTGCACTCTGGAGTGTTCTTGTGCTGGACTGTTAGCCAGAGAGCAAAGAAAAAGAGGTGGTTATATTTTTTCTTTTAGTTACCACAATGCGATTTGTTCCTCTGTCTTATTTTTATTTTTTTCTCCTAACATATTATTTTGAAAAATTTAAGCCTACAAATATAATGAACATGTGCCTATCTTTTACCAGTGTTAACATTTTGTGACATTTCCTTTATTTAGAGTAAGAATAGAATCAAGATACTGATCTAATTTGTTGACTTGCAGGTAGGTTGGATCCCAGTGTTTTCCACTAAGAATAACTAAGGGTACTCTCTGGGCAGGTCAGTACTGAAGAAGCCCATTGAAGAAAATTGAGAGACTTAGTTATATTACAAAGATTGAACACTCAAGCCTATATCATGATCAGAGTACATGCTCACATAATTTATGAGTGATGGTAGTATAAGAAGTTGACTTTGGGGCCTTCTATTTTGGGGGGCCCCATCCATTTAAGGCATGTATTTACATTTCAAATCAACAAATTATAATGTATGCCTTGAATGGGTCCATAGGTGTTTAGCCTAAACCAATTCATTATAAATCCCTGTGTCTTTTTTATACCCATGTTCTCTTGACACCTTTGGATTATACTTTTTCCAAAAAAAAAAAAAAAAAAATGCTGCAAGAGAGTTGGATTAAATCTGAAGGTAAAAAAGTAGATCATTTTCTTTATTTTTACTTATTCAATGAATCTAGAGATTAATTTTGGGCTAATCTTTGTATTGGTGTGTTGAGTAGGTATGAGTGAAGATTGTAAAGCAGTAAGACAGATACCAACTTGGCATTTAAATTTCACCCAGATTCCCAGGATTAAAACTTTACATATGAACCATAATTCTAGATTTGACTATCATTAAATGCACTTGGATGTAATATTGAGGTGCCTCCTTAGATATGAATATCTAACTTACAGATGTTCTTTTCATGGAGAATCATACAAACTTAATGTTAGAAGGAACCTTTCAGATACCAAATTTAATCAGTCTATTTTACAGATTTAAAAAGTAAACCCTAGACACCTGCCAGTTTCTCCCAGGTCACACAGCCAGCGGCAGAACTGAAATTCAAACCACTATTCCAGACCTCTCATTCATTGTTACTCCTACCATATGTGGCCATTCCAGAGGAATTACTCCCAACTTTGAGAGAAGGGTCAGGGCACTTCCCTCATTACTGCACTAGAAGAGGGAGAGTGCTCTTAGTTGGAACCAAGATTAAGATTTCCAATATGAACAGTACTAAACAAGAATGAAGTTAGTGACATGAATCAACAGCATTTGGCAGTATGTATGGCAATCAAACAGTTTGTAACATTGTTCAAAATAATCATAATCTCCCAATTTTAAACCAACCTAATAGTTTTCACTTAAATGACCAACAGATAAAATTTTAAAGCATACCAATTCATGGGCAACTATACCACAATTGGATATATGAACATTTAGATTTTTTTTAATAACTGGTATTGAAATGCCCTGATGGTCTTTTATGTTATCAACATTCAAGATGAATAACATGGCATTGCCTGGACCATAGTTTTAAGTGTTTGTTTTGTTTAAAATAGTGAAAGAAAAGTTATAGAAAATATCAATAAATGAGCAACATTCAACTTAAGCGCATTTTTATACATACATTTTTATAATGGTGTATCAGAGATTTTTTTATGATGTCATAAGTTGTCTTTTAAAATGGCCTTAATGCAATTAATCAAAAAATTAGTTTCATGTGAGGATGATATACTTTTTAAAATGTGTTGGGGAGAATAACAGCAATTATTTGTTGAAATTAGATCTTTGTCCTTAAATATTATAATGTGAACTCTTATAGGGAAGAATCCAACTGATGCATACCTTGATGCCATGATGAATGAGGCTCCAGGGCCCATAAATTTCACCATGTTCCTCACAATGTTTGGTGAGAAGTTAAATGGCACAGATCCAGAAGATGTCATCAGAAATGCTTTTGCTTGCTTTGATGAAGAAGCAACTGGTGGGTGCTCTTTGTTTATGTCCTTATTCCAAACTGTTTGAAACATTTTTTCGGAAATGAAAAATATTAGTTGCCCAGCCGGCGTGGCTTGGTGGTTGACTGTGGACCTATGAACCTGGAGGTCAAGGTTCGATTCCTGGTCGGAGCACATGCACAGGTTGCGGGTTCGATCCCCAGTATGGGGTGTGCAGGAGGCAGCCGATCTCTCATCATTGATGTTTCTGTCTCTTCCTCTCCCTTCCTCTTTGAAATCAATAAAAATATTTTTTTTAAAAGAAAAAAAATTAGTAAATTACACATTTTTAAAAATGAATAAAGGGAAACTATTATTTACAATGGGACCGTATAACTGAGAATAGCTAGGACACAGATGTATGTAGGTTATAAAACTACACAATTTGTGGTGTTACTCTTTGAATTTGGATCTGAGCTTCCTGAAGGCCAAAGAGAATGTCTGTTAAATAGTAGTTCTGAAACAATAAAAGCAACTTCTTCAAGAGACTATATATCACACCAGAAAGTATACAGTCATGTGCCACATAACAGCTGCTTCGATCATGACCAATAGCACAGTAGTGGTGCACACAAGATTATAATGGAACTGAAAAATTCCTGTCACCCTAGTGATGTCATAGCCATTTTAACACCATAGTGCACACGTTACTCATGTGTTTGTGATGAGGCTGGTATATACAAACCTGTGCTGCCAGTTGTATAAAAGCATAGCACATACAATTATGTACAGTACAGAATACTGAATGACTGTTACTAGTTTATGTATTTACTATACTATACTTTCTTTTAAATTTTTATTGATTGATTATATATAGAGAGAAATATTGATATATTGTTCCACTTATGTATGCATTCATTGGTTAATTGTTGTATGTGCCCTGACTGGGGATTGAACCTTCAACCTTGTATCAGGATGATGCTCTAACCAACTAAGCTATCTGGCCAGGGCTATATTACACTTTTTATTGTTATTTTAGAGTGTACTATTTCTACTTATAAGAAAAAAAATTTGCTGTAAAGCAGTGTGCTGTGTGTTAGACCAGCAGCAGCCTCATACATCTCGTGTTTATTGCATCCCTTCATTGCATCATTTCATCTTGTGCTTGATTTAATCTCATGTTGTTTGTACAGGCTTGTAGCCTGGAGCAATAGGCTATACCTATAGCTAGGTGTATAGTAGGCTATACCATCTAGGTTTGTGTAAGTACACTCTGATATTCGTATAACAATGAAATAACCTAATGATGCATTTCTCAGAATGTATCCATTAAGCAGCACATGACTGGAGTTAACAAACTTCAGTTATTAAAATTTTAGGGTGTTTTCCCCTTCTCGTTTTGAAGTATGTAAAGCCTAGCTATTCATTTTTCTTACTTCTTTCATTTTCGTCTTGTCTTCTATATTAACCCTACATTAACTCAGTACCCACATCACCTCCTCAGATGTACCTTGCACCCTATTCCTGCTTCCCCATTTCTGTCAAAGCTGTACCATCATTCATGCATATAATCTGGTAACTAAACTTTTTAATGATCCTATATAATAAAAGCCTAATATGCTAAGTGTCCTGTTGTCTGGTCGACCGTTCAACCAATCAAGGCATAATATGCTATTAATATGCTAAGGCTGCTCAACTGCTCGCTATGACGTGCACTGACCACCAGGGGGCAGACAGTTGACCAGTTGCTATGATGTTCACTGACCACCAGGGGACAGATGCTCTGACCAGTAGGTTAGCTTGCTGCTGGGGTCCGGCTGATTGGGACTGAGCAAGACGGGCCTGACACACCCTGGAGCTCTCCTACGGTCCCTCCCCAGCTGGCCAACCTCCCTCGTCCCTCCCCGGCCCCGATCATGCACCAATGGGGTCCCTCGGCCTGGCCTGCCCCCTCTCGAAATCCGGGACCCCTCAGGGGATGTTGGAGAGCCGGTTTCGGCCTGATCCCGCATGCCAGGCCGAGGGAACCCCACTGGTGCACAAATTCATGCACCAGGCCTCTAGTTTAATATAATATTGTAAAGAACTCTAAAAGTAATAAGAAAACATAATGATATAGTTACATAATGTCTTAGTTCACTATTTTTTTCGTTTAAATATGCATATTCTGAAATACTTTATAAGATTGACCTAGTGTGGAAATTAACCATTAAAGTTCCAGGAAGTATTCATGACTCCCTTCCTTGTATGTCTTCCAGGCACCATTCAGGAAGATTACCTGAGAGAGCTGCTTACAACAATGGGAGATCGGTTTACAGATGAGGAAGTGGATGAGCTGTACAGAGAAGCACCTATTGACAAAAAGGGAAATTTCAATTACATTGAGTTCACACGCATCCTTAAACATGGAGCTAAAGATAAAGATGACTGAGAGAACTTTAGCTAACTCCTTCCAATTACTTTGTCTTACTCTGTTTTATTTCCTCGACACTTTCCCCCATCCTCACAGACCTGTTGCATGCAACTTAGTTTCACAGCTTTGCCTCTTTTTTTTTTTTATGTATTTATTCTAGACTTTTCTGCCACTTAGCACTTGTATAATCAGACTGAAGATGGGGATAAGGTTGTAAATTGTGTTGAAAAAGAGTTTGCAAATAAAAATCAACCAATGTGAAAGCCCAGGAAAATATATTTGGTATTTCTAGTTTTGCTGGATTTTTACATTTTTATATAATAAAAATGCTATTTTGAAATAAAGATTATGCTGACTCAAATGGAGTATAATGAAAAGTTAAGTGATAGGTGGGGGTAGTCCTATTTTCATACTTTCAACTTTATGTATTTTAGATTTCATGGTTAAACTGATTTTTTAAGTATAGCCCTACCGGTGTGGCTCAGTGGTCAAATTAACATCATTATGCAATAAAAACTAGTTAGCCTTTTTTTTTTTTCTTTCACACTTCTAGGAAGTCATATGTTTAAACTACTAAATTATAAATATAGAATGTATCTGAGAAAACACTCAACATTTCATTGATCTTAAGAGTCTAAGAAGATGAGGCGAAAAACTGAAAAAAAGAACCTTTACCGTGTGTAAAGTATTGCACATAGACGATTTTAATTGAATCTTCCCAACAACCTTGTGAGATAGATTTCTCCTAGCCTCGTACTCCTGGTGAGGGAACTGAGCTCCGAGCAGCTGAGTGATTGATCAGAGTCACTGTTAGGAAGTGAGAGTTGGAATTCCAACCTGGGATGCCTAAGTCCACAGCATAGAGTGCTGTTTCTTTGAAAAGCCCCAAATGCCTGAAAGGTCAAGATATTTCCATTACTTTCTAACATAATTGTGTAATTTATTGAAATTTAAAATCTGTTTTGGAAATTGATTATGTGAATAGAATTTCAGAAAATTCTATCCAGGTAAAAAAATAGAAGACAAGATTATAATGAATTCAATCTTTGAAGGCAATCCATGTGGTGTAAAATGTAGGAAGGACTGACAAACATAGATAAGGCCGCTATGAGCTTGTTTAAAATCCTCAAGGCGCCAAGCACTATTACAAGTATGGGAGGAACCTAAGAAGGGGTAATTTTTTTTAAGTTTCCAATGTGGTTTTAACATCTATTCCCTCACTTAAAAGTGTTCTTTTGGTATAATGTCTACTTAAAATTACATATTGTTTAATATTTGTGTGTTAGAGCTTAGTGTGTTAGGCAAATCCTGGTCACTTGCTGCTGTCACTCAATTTTTTTCTGGACTTCCGTTTCATCTTTAAAATGAGAGCAGTTCCACTCTTGTGGTTAGTACAGTGTTTCACAGTTCATAAGAGCTTTCATATTTGTTATCTAACCCTCACAGCCTAAAAGGTTAATAGGGGAGGTATTATTCCTTACTCTTTTATGAGGGCTGAAGTTTAGAGAAACAAGCATCTGTTCCTGGTGCCACAAGTACAAGAATCCACATCTGGCTTTGGCTGGGTGGGTAGCCCAGTTGGTTGGAGCGTCATCCAATATACCAATAAGGTTACAGGTTCAATCTCTGGTCAGGGCATGTGCAGGGATCTACCAATGAATGCATAGATGGGTGGAACAACTCTCTTCCCTCTTCCTCAAATCAATTTTTTTAAAAATCCCCATCTGGCTACCTTTTCTACTTCCAAGCTGAAAGTCACCGTGCAGTGTCAAAACCAGTGATGACTATGTGTAAGGAAAGGGAGAAATAGACTGGGGTAATCTTGATCATGAATAAATCAATCACCTGTTATGTGCCAGGCACTGTTTTAAGTGTTGGTGATAAACAACTGAGGGGTGGGGGGTGGGAGGGAGAACAAACAAGGATGCTGCCTGCCCCACCCCCCGCACCGGGAGCTCACATTCTCACAGGCTCATATTGAAGTCATTGCAGTACTATGGGACAGAGGGCCTCAGGAGAGATGGGTCCTTTCAAGGCACATGTGCCAGGAGCTTTAGGACAAGAGAAGAATATAGGGATGGTATTTGCTGTGTAGTCTAAGTGGGAAATCAGGGCGTTGGGCAGGGAAGAAACATGAAAACTCGACCTTGCTGCTTTGTATGGAATGGAGGGCAAGAGTAGATAAAAGCGAGAAGGCTTCCTATTAGGAAGCTGTCACTGTCCCGGCAAGATAGGAGGGCAGCTTGGGCTCGGGCAATGGTAGAGGAGGTGGCTGTGGCATGCCTCTCCGTGCCCTTCCTATTTCCTCCATTCCAGCCCTGCCTTGTTACCATCTCCTTGGCATTTTAATTACATTTATTCTATTGCTCTTGTTTGAAGCCAGATTAGAAAAATTGGGGTGGGGGGTGAGGAGGGTGGGGGTAGAGTTTTCAAGATTAAAAACAAGAAAAACTTAGTTGTTTCCTAAATGCCTTATGGGTTTTTTACATTGTAATTTTAATTGGTTCAATTACAGTTGACATTGTTCCTCTCTAGGGTCCAATAAATATTAATGATGACAATGAAAACCCTCTATTTAATATTTTTCTTGAGAATCACATAGTGACGATCTCCTAAATTGACTATTGATCCCTTGGCCATTGAAGTGGGAATGTGGTTGTGTGTGTGTGTGTGTATGTGTAATCATGTAGTTAAAACTACTGAATGTTTACTGTGTCTAATAAGCATGTTACACTACTGCCCTTTGAGATAGGTACTTTTATTATCCCTGTTCTACATATGATGCACTGAGGAGTAGAGAAATAACTATCCAAGGTTACCTAACTAGTAAGCAGCGGGACCATAATTTGGATTCAGGCAGTCTAACTCTAGCACCTGCCCTCCCAGTAAAATGATTATTGGAGATAACACCCCTAATTTCTTACCTCTGTAGAGTAGTTTTAAAAACATTTGCTGTTGCATTTGTTCCTCAAAACTCTAGTAGGTAGATAAGTTAGCCATTGTTATCCCATTATAAAGGTGGGAATACTTTACTTGCTCAATTTATATACCTAGACACTGTCTTATCCAGGACTTTTTAAAAAATATATATTTTATTGATTTTTTACAGAGAATAAGGGAGAGGAATAGAGAGAAACATCCATGAGAGAGAAACATCGATCAGCTGCCTCCTGCACACCCTCTACTGGGGATGTGCCTGCAACCAAGGTACATGCCCTTGACTGAAATTGAACCTGGGACCCTTAAGTCCACAGGCCAATGTTCTATCCATTGAGCCAAACTGGTCAGGGCTCCAGGACTTTTGAGTGAGATACAGTGCTTCTCATTAAACCTATAATTAATTAGTGATTATTGATACTTACAGCCTGACTAAAATTTTGTTTGACTTTAAATTTATGTATGCTATACTATATATATCATATATATGAAAACCATTGATATTTTCAACAGTGAAATTATACTTAATTATATATTTAATGAATCACCTTTCCTGATCAAATATTTGCACAAAGATAATTTTTAAAATTCAATATGTATATGAATAAATACTTGAGTAATAAAATTTATTGTAAATTTGGTTTGTTTTTGTGTTTTTTACATTTTAATGTTTTTGAAAACATGTCTTACAGTCAATGTTTATATTTAATATTTTTATCCTGAAAAGTAATTGTATCAATGTTGCACCTTAAAATTGATAGATCTTAAAGAAACATAGTCTTTGAAATATAAACATACAAACTACTGAAAAATCTGGAGTGAATAGGCCCCATAAATATGTCACCTGGGAAGTATGAATGAGGTTGTGAAAGTTTATCACGTAGTAAAATTTTGAGGAAAGATTTCTTGGGAAACAAAATGGTGAGAATCACAGGTTGCACATGTCACACTCTGTCCTTAATCTCTTAAGTGAATCTTTTAAATAACAGATGTCAGATGTCATGTGCAATTTTAGAGACAATAACTAGAAGTGTCACTAGATGGCACTATTATTCTTGATACTGTAGGAACCTATTCCTTAAAATGAACTTCAGGGTGATAAAGCATGAATATGAATATGTAGAGAGCACTAGTCCCAATAGTGCTGTAACTTTGTCATTGATAACAAAGTCTATTACAGTGACATTCATACTATCTCCTGAACCCTAAAATGCAAGAAGCAATCTCTAGGACTCCTTTTTACAATGCTGTATTCATTCCTTCATTCACTTACAAATATTTGTTGTCTGCAAAGTACTGTGATCTCAGTGATGCTCTGGTTATTTTCACACTGAAGTAAGGACTTTTGTTGAAAATAGCTTTGTTCCCGAAAGACCTGAGTCTGCCACTTACTGACTGGGTCATCAGGTGAAAGTCACTATTATTATCATCACTTCTATTTTAGAGATGAGAAGACTATAGCACAGAACAAATAAATTTACATGAAATGTTTTGTAAAATCATGCTATCTATATGAATATTAATACTCCTTCACGAATGTTGAGAACTATTTCTATTAGTTCTATATAATATACTCTATTGAGTCACACAATCTAAGCTTATTAAGATTAGCCCCAACACATAGGTTCGCCATCACTGGTGTAGCTGTTCCCTGCCTCTACCTACTCTTAGAAATACTATCAGAATAAAAAATGAAGTAGATAGGTCTGAAGTGTTTTGGCAGAAGGATACTTGAAGCATGCCGTGGGGTGTGTATGGATGGGTGTGTTTGAATCTTAAAAAAAATTGTTTCAACCTATCTTGCAGGAAGCCAACCTAATCTTTTACAAGTCCCACTTCCAAGGCAGTTGATGTTGCTCCCAGCACACAATACTGCCTTTCAGATTCTCATTCTGAATAAACATGATGCCATTGCATATTTCCTCATGGACATTGCTGACTAGCTCAGCAAAAAGAAATCTGAATGCTTTATTCACATTTTGTAATAATCTGAGTATAAATTGACAATGGCTTATTTAAGAGGTTGTGTTCGTTGTACTCTTCTCTAGTAATCTTTTTATTTGTGTTCTCTTTATTCAGTTCTCACTCTTTGAGGTGGATGTTGTGTTCTAGTGTTGCGGGAGATACAAAGATTCTGATCCTACTAGGTGTTATGCTAAGTGTTATGGATGCACGTAATAAAGGTTAGTTCTCTCTCTCTACCAGAATCCCCAAAACAGCTGCACTCTCTGGCTGGAGCTATGGCTGATGTCTTAGCAGTTCACTGAAGAGGTAAGATGTTTGTTTTTTTTAAAAAGATGCTTCTCTAACAATGATGCTTGTTTTCTCCGCATCACCCGTGTTTGCCTTCATAACAGCCAATTGTATAGTTAAGAATTCAAGCAAACACATGAAAAGAAAAACAACC